AATTTCCGACTAAAATGAAATGTTTGAAAGAATTTCGTAACTTTATACTCGAAACCGATTTAAATATGAATCAAGTTAGCAAAGTTGTTGACTTAACCACATTTCACGTCATTATTGAGATTGAAGTTAAGACTGTAAAAAAGACCACAAATATATGTGATACATTACTAAATCACGTCGAACTATAAGCATTTAGATAATTGCCTTCATTTTAAAATATTATTAATTAACAATATAATACACGCTGTATAAATAATTGCATTGGTAAATACATAGAAATATATTTTGTATAATTATTTATTTGTTTTTATAATATTGTAGTCAAAACCTAATTAGTAGTTCATTTCCTAGTAAATTGTATATATGTCAAATTAAATTATAAATAAGAAGAACATCTTTTTTTTAATATTCATAACTTGAAAAAATAAGTGACATACTTAACTGGTTTGATATAATACATTTTTTATATTATAAAAACTGAAGTTTTTTACTTACTTGTTACAACTTTACAAACATATCATCAATTAAAGATGTGCACATAATTATTACAGTACGCGTAATCCAAGTAACCAAACTACACTTGTTTCATTTAATTAAATGAATTATTAAAGAACTTGTAATTATCACAAACTTTGAAGCATATCATAAAAAAGAATTAATATTCATCTTCAATTATTTGTTTAATGTATGTCATCCTACTTTGACTGTGTAACTCCCTGCAATCTTCGCAATGAATTCGAAATGGAAAAACATATAAAATAATATCTGCAGTTTGCGCAAATACTTGAGACACGCTTCTTCACTCTAAAAGCAGTAGTAAAAAATGCACAAAGTTGTTTGAATTTATATACTAGAAAATTATAGAAGATTTTTTCCACAAATCAGTGAACCATACAGCCAATGAACTAAGATAGTATAAAAAAGGACGTACCGAGTTGACAGCACTCAACAGTTGCAGTTGCAAAATGTTACTTTCGAGAGAAGTGAACTTTTCAATGACCCTTAAATGTCACTTGAATCTGCACTTTTAATATAAAATTTTCTTTTTTTGTTTATTTAGTCAGGTCTTCGTCCTTTCCATATTTATTCATATGCGGCATGTGTCATATACTACAAGCACTAAAGCTAATCAATATAAATCAATAAATGCGGTAAGAACTTTTAAAACTGGAATCAAGTCGGGCGGTTAACCAACGGAGACAGAAAAGTTACTTTTATTTTGTTGACCGTTACAAATTTAATGCTGCAAAAATATACACCCGTACACACGTACATACATGGGTTCTGTAAACATACATAATTCCATAACTGGTATAAAAATAAACTTCAATATAAAAAACTATGTCTGTACAACTATGTGTATATATGCATATGACTATATATGTATATCTATACATATTGGTCTATACAAAAACGTGGAGATGTATATAAGTCAGTGTGTATTTGCGAGTAAATACTAAAGTTAACGTTTCCGTATTGACATTTGTGTATTCTCTGCTCATCTTAACACTTTGATGTTCTTAGTTGGCTTTAACTTGTCAATTAAGTTATGATATTTTACGGTCAATATAGAGTCGAGCGATGAAAGTTATATGAGCTGCAGGAGCATATGAGCAACTTTGTATTTATATTTACACAAAAATATTCTTTACCAGTAATGGAAATGATTTTGTTGCTTTATTTTGAAAAATATATACGTGGTTATAAAAAAAGGACATCATAAAAACAAAAAGTTAAATACTGAACAGTAAAATTTTAATGGAAGCAAAATATTAACAGCAGGATAGGAAAGAAATAGAATGAAAAGATATACTAAAGCGGTTACTACTAAGAAATAGTCTCTAATAGGTTAGTTATACATTCAGTTTTATTGAGTTGAGATATTTTCAGACACAATTTATAATTAATGATGTAGATATACTATTACCACTACACCTGCCATTATTTGGAGTTAACTGAAATTTTAATGTCTAAAGCTGTTACCAATTGCATATAGGTAGCGAAACATAATATATATGGTATAGCGTCAAAAATCTCCAATATTGTCAGGCATATAATTGCAGATATGCAAAATGAAATTTATTAGTGTAAATGGCAATGGATACTGCGGGATCGTTATTAGTTACTAGTAGAAGACCAATTAACAATAAGTTTGTGACTGAAATATTAGACTTGGAGGTATCTTCCACTTTTATAGACCAATTTTTAACATGTATTATCTAAGAGAACAATTCAAGATAAATTTGGATAAACTACTTTCTACGGTATTTGTAAAAAGTCGGAAAGCTTCAAATTGCAATATATAATTAAGACATTTAGTTTAGGTTGAAATGAGGTATCTAATATATGGTTAAATCATATTATTTTATATTGTGGAATGTATAGGGACTATAAAAAATATGATACTATGTAATTAGTGATAATATTTTAAAACTTATTGATAGTCTCATTTACAATGAGAAGATACAATAAACAAATGTATACTACGTATTTCAAAAAAAAAAAAGAAAAAGAAAAAGGTATTAAGTACCCTACTCAAAACTAAATTTCTTAAAAATATATTATTGCTTGAAACTAATAAAACTAACAATTGTTTGTTAGATTGGTAAAGATAACTTCTGCAAAAATATTTTTAATGTAAAAAGACAACAATGCCCATCTGATAAAAAGAAAAATATAATCAAAGTAACGGAAGAAACGGAAAAGTTTGAAATAATGAAAAGAAGAAAATAAAATAATATTTTTTATCATTTCATACATTCCTTGATGTTTCTAAAAGAATACATGACGGTATCATTTAGTATGTAAATAATATCATAATCATAATATGGAATATCTAACAGTACGAATTAATTATTATGTATTTACTAAGCAGCTACGTAAAGAATGAACTATTATGCTTAAAAGTTATAAAACAACATTTTTTAAATATTTTATATCGGGTTACAGGTCACCTTTTTTTATTTAAATTAAACGTTTGTTTAATATTTTTAAATATACTCTATATTTCGACTCTGCTTGAAAGTCTATATTGCACTATGTAAATACGGACAACGAAACCAAAAACATGACAGTTCTGGTCGTGATGACGACTCTCAAGAAAAAGAGTCGAAATAAAGAATATATGAAAAAATATTAAACAAACGTTTAATTTAACAAAATACAAAAAACAGGTTACCTCTCGCCGGATATAAAATATATAAAAAAACATTATTAAGCAAACCAGGTCGAGAAACAAATTCAAAATTTAATAGTTACAGAACAGTACATTACTCAACATTGTTTCTAGAATATATTTTTATATATCAATTTCAGACATCTACAAAATAAACTTCAAACTCAACAAACAGAAGTAGTTATAGTTTCAGTTATTTTCATAAAAATTTTACTTGAACTGAAAATAAATATCACACATTTTAATCAAAACTTTTCAAAAATACACGATTTAGGAAACTTCGAATCACAATAGAATCTATTTAATTTGATTTTGATATAAAATTTTAAAACTTTTGCAAACTCTGCAGATATTTACCCAATCCTTTGTTATGTGTTAAGAACTTAAGGAAGCGTAATTTTTCTAAGAATTCTATAAAATCACAAAAAGCAAAGGTGTGAGTGCTTCAGGCGATTTCAAAAGAAAAAAACACTCATACGACACGCAAACCCAAACCGTAACTACACAAAACTGAAAATAGATACCAACACATTCACCCACACTATTGCAAAAAACAAAAACAACAGTGAAAGAGCGTACACACACAGACACCAGTGCAGCCACGCAGCTGGTGTCGCATTTTGCTGGTAATTAATTATGAAGCCCCTGGGTGTCTTTATACATGACCACAGCAGTTACAATAAACATTCCGTCAGTGGGGGTGTAAGTTACATTGAAGTATTAAAACTAGTCCGTGTGTGCACGGCAGTGGGATAGTTTCGGAGTATATGAGGCGTACTTAATAGAGACAAAACGGATTTATTTTAAACCAAACTTTATTTAAAGACATTTTTAGTTTATTTAATTTATTTTTTTTTGTAATTTTTGTTTGTTTGCTGTTCAAAGTTTAAATATCTTTTATTTACTGTTAGGCACGTCATTTCCATATGTAGACTTTTTCTCACATTTTCACAAATACACAATGCAGTTGGTTTTTGTCTCTATAGACTTTGGCCGAAATAGGTGTGCGGGTTTTGCAGTGGTTAAGTTTGTGGCTTGCTTAGCTAATTTAAAAGTTAATTTCAAGAAACTTATTTACCAACTGTCAGCAGCAAAAGTTTTAACAAAAAATATGTGGTTTTTAGTTGCACTATCGATGGAGAGAGTTAACCAAGATAAGAGTTCACCTGAAATTTATTTCTATTCATTTTAACAAGATTTATTATTAAAAAAAATAAGTTTTTTTAAATGATACTTTTTACTATCGGGTACTTCATATATATAGATAATAGTCTAGCCTTTAATACATTTGTTGGTCACTTTTAACTTAAAATTATTATTCGAATTAAATTTTGGTACGAATAGGTTAAATAGATATCCTTCGAAATAACAACCCATGTAATAATAACGCATAAAAAAGGGAGTAATTCTAGAAAGGACATTTCTTACTACACCCGAACATGAGCCTAAAGAAAACGAACCAGAGTAGGTTTTTAATAGTGTATGTTTACTATAATAAATATAATTTTTGTTCTAGCTCTTATATATTCACAACAAATCGATATTGGGTTGTAGCTGTGATTACCTTATGACACTATGAATTTTTAATCCTTTCGAATCTTATGTTATATTAATTAAAATGTTAGTCTTAATTGAATATAAGTTTGTAGCATCCAATTATTGTGATTTATAGCTAAAAGGAGTTCATTTTATTGCTTTGCAGAAAATGATGAATAGCTTATAATGTGATTATTGCATGTCTAAATGATTGAAATATATTTTTATTCCTTTAAATTTATCATGTTTGGAATCCATTTAAAATATTTTATTTAATTGGACTATTGGAATGAAAATACGGAAACGATTCGGAACCTGGAATATAAGAACTCTAGCAGAAACATCAAAACTTGCTCAACTTGAACGTGAATTTGTACGTCTCAATCTTTTATTCATCGGGCTAAGCGAAGTAAGATGGAATGGCTGCGGCGAATACAAAACATCCTCCGGCGCTACACTCATCTACTCTGGAAAGGCCACAGGCGAAAAAAGAGAAAGTGGAGTAGGCTTTCTACTATCCAAAGAAGCTAAACAAGCGCTCATAGAATGGCAACCACATGGCGACCGAATAATTCTGGCAAAATTTAAAACTCGAGCCAGAACCCTCACATGCATACAGTGTTACGCGCCTACTGAAGTCACCGACCCACAAATCAAGGAAAATTTTTATGACTCCCTATACTCTGTTTTAAATAAATGCCCTAGAGGTGAAATAAAGCTCGTCATGGGAGATTTCAACGCACAAATCGGGCCAGATAACAATGGAAGAAAGCAAGTGATGGGTAAACATGCTCTCGGCACAATGAACGATAATGGGGAGCGTTTCTATGAATTATGTAACACCATGGGCCTCACCATAGGAGGTAGTCTCTTCCCGCACAAACATTTGCATAAAGTCACTTGGGTTTCCCCAGATAATGCAACAGAAAATCAAATCGACCACATTGCCATCAGCAAAATGTGGAGACATTCATTATGTGATGTCAGAAATAAAAGAAGTGCAGACATGGCTTCTGACCACCATCTACTAATCGGTGAAATACAACTCAAATTAAATGCGGTCTTTAGAAAGCCACAATTCAAAAGGAAACGGTTCGACCTCGCTAAACTCGACAACCCTACTGTTCAAAATAACTATCAATCTCTTTTATCGGCCCAAATCCCTAATCCCTTGCCACTAGAAGAAGAAATCTTTGAAGCCGAAACTTATTGGGAACAAGCAAAATGTGCCTTCACTGAAGCAGCACAACAAAGTGTCGGTATTCCTCAACGTCAAAATAATCCGTGGATCACCGAACATACATGGAATCTTATAAAAGCGCGCAAAGGAGAAAAAGAAAAGGTTAACAGGACAAGAACGCGCCAAACAAAGCAGCAGGCACAAGCCAACTACAGTATTGCCAACCGCAAAGTTAAACGCAGCGCTAGAGCCGATAAGCGCAGATGGCTCGACAATTTAGCAACAGAAGCCCAAAAAGCAAGCGAATCACATAGGCTCAAAGACCTACACAACATCACTAAAGCTATGGTGGGACGTAAACACAGGATTGCAAAGCCAATAAAAAATACCAGAGGCGAACTAGTACACTCTACCGAAGATCAGCTAAAAGTTTGGGAAGATCACTACAGAAATCTCCTAGCGGGAAACAACACCTATCCTCAGCAGGAACTATGTAGTAGACACCACGAACATATTGCTCGCAACGATATAAACACAGATGTACCTAACATCAGTGAAATTGAGGCAGCAATAACTCAGCTTAAAGCAGGTAAGTCCGCTGGTCCGGACAATATTGCCCCCGAACTGCTCAAAGCAGACAAAATTTCAGCTGCTCAAATTATTCAACCAATTGTCAACAACTTCTGGTCCCAAGAGTCATTACCGCCTAATCTTAAAGACGGCATCATTATTAATATACCAAAGAAAGGTAACCTGATGGAATGCTCCAACTGGAGAGGCATAACTTTACTAAATGTAGCTTATAAAATTATTGCTCAAATCTTACATAAACGTTTAACTTCGGCCGCTGAGCCTACACTACGAGCCGAGCAAGCAGGATTTAGGCATAATCGATCATGTGCCGACCACATAAACAGCCTTCGAATAATAGTCGAACAGTCTAGCGAATGGCGATCTCCCCTATACTTGCTGTTTATCGACTTTAAACGTGCATTCGATACACTTCTCCATACCACCATCTGGTATGCATTAGAGTGTAAAGGTATACCGAGTAAATTAATAAATTTAGTAAAAGGCTTGTACTCTAACGCGCACTGCTCAGTACTTCACGAAGGGCGTCTCAGCGGGCAAATCCAAATTAAGTCTGGCGTCCGACAAGGTTGCATTCTTTCACCTATACTATTTAATATAGTCTTAGATGTCGTTATGTCGGAAGCTATGAGCACAAATCACTGCATATCATTCGGCCTTCATAACAAACTTACTGACCTCGATTAC